TTATTATTATTATTATTATTATTATATTATTATTATTGTTGCTATTGTGTACAGGCACTAAAGTACATAAGGTATCCTGTATAAGAAAAGGAGATTTTCCTGGTACAGTCACTGAAAAGTTCTTTTCTCACCACTGTTTCCATGAATTACAGGGACTGGTTATGTCCTGCTCCCCAAGAGAGGGTGAGACAGATGCACTTGAGTGCGCATCATGCATGTATCTGTGATTTTTAGCATGGTTTCCTAAGAAAGCAAGAGGTACAGATGACAGTATCTCTCTGCTCATCTATCGATCTCAGCCAACCAGCTTCCAGATAACTTTTATGGTGGAATATTGCTCTCAGTAAAATGGGAGGTTCTGTATTAACAAATAGGAAACCAGGCCTCATTAGTTCTGATATTCAGGGAACATCACATTCAAACATGTTCTGAGCTCATCTCCAGATGACACTTTCTCTGTATGCCATTCTTTTACATATTTTGAATGCCCAGGCATTGCATCACCCAAAGCTAAAAATCAGTTTTCTACCATTCCTAGTCCCAGGAAAACTCTGACCAAGCAGAAAAAAGTCTGGATGAGTCCAACAGTGATTTGACCGAATTGATCAAGAGGCGCCTTGAGAGTGTAGCCAGCACAGGAAGCTCTGCCAGCTCAGGATTTATTGAAGATAAGAGTTACAGCGATTCAGAAGATGATGAAGAAGGTAAAAGAAACCTACCTAATCCCAGATCTTTTCTTGTGAAGATTTCTGTCACTTGGCTAGTGCCACACACAGCCACACACTTTACAAGCCCTTACAACAGCTTTACTTCTTCCTGAAATCACAAATTCTTTCTCTTGCCTATGCCTCCCTCCAACTTTCTCACAAAAAGAGATTTGCAATAATATATGCATATAAAAGCTGCTCCTGTTGCTTAAGAGGAGCAATAGCGATATTTACCAGAAGATTTGTGAGGCCAGTCTGTCCCCAGTCTCGTCACTCACTCACTAGAAATAGTTTCCCTCACTTTTATCCCCAGGTGTTGCTTTCCCCCTACCTAAATGACATGATTAATGTTGGACTGAACTTTTAAAATCATGTGTTCTTCTGCCTCTAGGTCAGTAGTTCCTAAACTACTACTACTCAAGTAACAATCCTCAGGATGCAGGATTGTTACTTGAGTAACAATCAGGGCTGGGGTCATCAGCATGCAAGTGGCAGCAGTGCCAAAGAAGTTTGTAGCTGTTGCTCTAGTGTTGTGCTGTATCTGTGATCTCTCCTAGATGCTGAGGATCTGTACAAGCGGCCCCTGACCCTGGAGGATCTCATTTGCTATAGCTTCCAGGTGGCAAAAGGCATGGAGTTTCTCGCCTCCCGAAAAGTGAGCTCACAAAAATGTCAGGGCTGAACTTCTTTCACAGAATCATGAATATCTGATACGAAGAAATCCAAGTATACTTTTGAGGCTGAGTAATCTGCTTTTTGCTCTTATATTGAAGTGCTGGAGATCACATTAACTCCGGTGGTTAAGCAATAAGTAGCTCTGAAGGGGTTGTGAAGAAATAGTCATCACTTCTTGGCTACAAGGACTGGCACCTGTAACGTGAGAGTTTAGATAGGAGGGAATACAGATTGTAAGACTATTCATGGAACTGCCTCATAAATAAAGGCAGAAAAAGTTTCTCATAGAGAAAGATCCTTCTGGTATTGTCAACAAAAGCACTACTGAAAAATGAAGAGGGAGTATCCAGCTATTGATTTAGGTTGTCAGCAACGTTAGGGACTATCAGCAAAGTTAGCACCTCTTTTGGATACAACTTTTCATGTCAATTGAATGTAATACACATGTCAAAGCATGCACAAAAATGAGAGACTGCACTCACCACACAGCTACCGGGGCAGCACACAGAAGAATCCTGACACAGTTACCCCAGTCTCACAAACACTCATGGGACTGCACGTGCAATTGTAGCTGCAGCTGCTTTTTGACCTCTCCCAAGTTTGCCCCAGAACAATTAATTGAAAATGGCACTCCCTTCGTCTCATCATAACTGTGAAAGGTATTTCATATAGAAAAATCAGAAAAGTAACTGTAATACTTGGCTTGTTCCCTGAGTTATTTTCTCTTTTGCATATGACAGTATATTTGCAGATGATTCCCACACACATTTTCCTTCTCTAACCTGAAGTTCAGTTATCTTTCCATTTCCAAAAAAGGTCTCGTGCTTTAAACTCTAGCAGTGGCTCGTTGTCCAGGAAGACCCTCTGATCTTGCTTGTCCTCATTCCTTCACAGTGCATTCACCGGGATTTGGCAGCAAGGAACATCCTTCTTTCAGAGAACAACGTGGTTAAGATCTGTGACTTTGGACTAGCCAGGGATATTTATAAAGACCCCGACTACGTACGGAAAGGAGATGTAAGTGGAAGAAACTTGAAATGCTGATCTCCACTTTTTATTCCCTTAGGGCTCAAGCAGATTAATAACAACAATTCTGGCAACAGTGGGCATGGTAGTGTTGGACAAAAGGACAATTTGCTCTTGCAGGACGAGAGGAAATGGCCTCAAGTTGCACCGAGAGAGGTTTAGGTTGGATATTAGAAAACATTTCTTTACTGAAAGGGTTATCAGGCAATGGAACAGGCTGCCCAGGGAAGTGGTAGAGTCGCCATCCCTGGAGGGATTTGAAAGATGAGTAGATGTGGCACTTAGGGACATGGTTTAGTGGGCATGGTGGTGTTGGGTTGACGGTTGGACTTGACGAGCTTAGAGGTATTTTCCAACCTTAATGATTCTCTGATTTTTAGGCAAGACTTCCACTCAAATGGATGGCACCAGAAGCTATTTTCGATAAAATTTACACAACCCAGAGCGACGTATGGTCTTTTGGAGTGCTGCTATGGGAAATATTTTCTCTAGGTAAGAATGGTTTAATTTTTTTTTTCCCCCTAATTTACGGCTCTATTGCTATGAAAAGCTTTAAACAAAAGGTGATAACATGGTGCCAGGTTTCTGTTTCCGTTAATACAATGGCACAGTGCAGATCAGGTGTAAAATAAAGTCACTGGACTGAAGTCAATGAGAATTCCACCTGGCAAAGTACATGAAAACAGTGAATATTGAGGGGAGGGAGAAGGACACACCAAAACAAAATCCAAAACCCTGGACCTAACATTTGTAATAACTGAAACCAGCAGAGCACAGAGATAATGCAAGCCTCTGCTTCTCGGGAGTGAAATATTTCTTTGAGAGCAATGGATTTTCCCTGTCAAACCATATTTTCCCCCCAAGCAGTCTGCCTCAGGAAACCACACAGCTCAAAGGTTGCAAAGGATTACACTGCTGTTGACATAGTGGTCTGATGTTGCCAGTGGCAGCCCATGGGACACAAGGGAGCTTGCCCACATGACATTTTATCCCAGCTTGATTATCTTCCCCACAAAATCTAAGATTTTCTAAGAAAAATGTATTGGCAGCAGCTGCTGTCAAGTTGATACGAGAACCAGTGCTAGACTCTGCGTAAGTCATTTTGGCAGCGAACGAGTAGAACACATACTCTTCTGGCCATATCATTTGCAAGCCACAACATTTTTGAAAGAATAGTAATGGTGTTCTTTATGTACTATAAATTTCATCTTACGGTGCTGTTAGAAATCTCAGCCTACTGAGATCTGGTTACTGTCCAGCAGATAAAGCCCTGAAATTTAGACAAGCAGTCTTACAGACAGTTGGACTTACCCGCTCTCAGATTCTCCTTTGCAGAGTGGCAAGTTTTGTTTTCCTGAGGGAATTTAGGAATGTCAGCTCTGGCTTTTTAATCAGCATTCACAGACAAAAGAAAACAAGAAGCATTGTCAACTTAAGCTGCTGAATTTTAAAGCAAACTCTGTAATCTCCTACTATCTTTGGCTCATGGATCAGTTGAAATTAATGATTGGGCTCAAGATGCCAAGTCCAAATCTGTATGCAAAGTTTGGAGCTGTTTCTATCCTTATCTTTATTTAGGCCTGGCTGCAAAGATCACAACCTGATTTCAGTCCAAGTCTTTGGATTTGGACTTTCCTGTAGTTTGTATCAGCATGCAAAACAGAAAGTTCACACTCAAGTGGTTAAAACAAGTGGCAGTTACTGCTTTCTCTGGGGTTCAGTCCTATTTATTTAGAATTTTGTTGCTTTGGTGTCACACTCCCATGGCTCTGTAATAGCATCACCCACTGCATGTGTTTTGAAACACCACAGAAAGACACACCTCCAGAAGCACCGGCAATGTCCCAGTTCTAATAGATTATTCAAGGAGAAGCGTTAGCATTAGCATGCAGAGACACACTCATGAGGGGACAGTCTCTCCACTGGGCATCTCCAAGGAACCAAATGAATGGAATACTGATGAATGGCAAGGACCACTGCAGAAGGCAAACTGTTTATGCCATTCCCAAAGGTCCTGAGAGAGTTTAACAGATGTGAACTTCAAGCCATTTGGCCTTTAATACTGAAGACTTAATAAAAATTAAAATATAGTCACTGAAATTAATCTCTATTTTTAACTATTTTTTAAAATAATTTATCTGGTTTCTTTTAATTTTAGATAGCCTCTTTTCTTAATGAAGGTGCTTACTTGGAACAATAGACTGTCCTCTGCTGAATTCAGAGGAATCTACTAAATTACTCCAAGAGCTGCCATCCGTAGAGCAGCCTCTGCCCTTGTTATGACGTAGATCACAAACTGCTTTCTTCAGTCCGTGGCACAGGTTCAAAAGCAGTCATTTTCTCTAAGAGGGTTTTTCATACAGATCATCCAGGCATGGCTGTGGTTTGGCACTACTCACATCTGCAGCTCACACGATAAATATTTAATTAAGGATTTGTGTCACTGATTGAACTCTCTTATATAAAAGTTTTACAGATCATTGAAAGCTAGCGGATGGAAGTTATTTGTCATTGCTACAGGGTATGTTTTGGCTCCCATTTAAAACTGCTGGTTTTTACTGGGTCCCACAGACTTAGCACCCTCTAAAAAAAAAAAAGGAAAAAATACTGAATAGCAAAAAGCACAGTTTAGTTTGAACATGGGTCCTTTCAGGGTCAGAAGTTGAATGAAGCACAATAGGCTTCCTCCAGAAAGGCTGGCAGACTGGATCCATTTTGGTGATACACAGGGAAATCAAGACTTGAGAGACGGTTAATTTTCATTTGGGCCTGAGTTTGCATTGAGCTTTGCATTATTTAAATGAAGCCAGCACACCTCACGTCAGGTAATGCCAGCAATGTTGAACACATCTTGAAATCACTTACATGGCGCATTACAGAATGTCGATATCTCCTGGAATTTAAATGCGCACTGTGCAAAATGCAATCAAAGGTAATTATGTAAACAAGCAGTGCCTGGTAGTATAACATCAGCATCGTATCATCCTACTAAAATAAAACCAAGATCAAAAGAGTGCTGCTGTATCCAATGCATGCCACATCTTTGAGCATTTTGGAAGAGATTTCCCTCAAGGAAAACATCATGTGTAGACCTTACACCGTATGTTTCAGCCTACATTTCTCCCCAGCTGTCTCAGCATCCCAAATCCAAGTTACTGGGTTTATCACAGATGAAATACAATAGTGAGTGGAGGTGGGAAAGGGAGAGTGCTTTGCTTTTGAGATCTGAGCTGCCTCCAGCTGCTAGGAAGCCAGCAGTGGTCAAAATATAAACAACCAAAAGATCTTGCAATCAAAATTAATCTTCTTTGCCTTCCTTGTACTTGCTCTCACCAATATATTACAGTTGATATGATTAATATTATAATCAAAGAAAGATAACTCAGGTTGTGAGATCAAGTGGAATTCTCCATCCCTCCTCATCCAGTTGTACTGTGTTGCCCTCAGGGTCGCAGACCCAATCAATGTATTTGCAAGACTAATTCTTGGCAATAACTTCTGCTGTTCTCATGAACCAGATGGGGCCAGTGATACTCAGCAAAGCGAGGGGTTTCTTTGGCACGTCAGGATGGTCAGTGGAAAACAGCTGCATTGACAGCCTAGAGCTAACTAGATCAAGTGAGGCTCATGCTCACTTGAGAGGCTGCCTCACTCTTAAATAGATATGGGATCAACTGGGCAAGTCGCAGATGTCTTCATGAAGCCTCAGTACCTTGTGAAGGCTGGTAAAGATAAACTCCTACAGATGAAAAGACAAGCTAGTGAGAGCTCAGGAGATGTACACAGACCCTGTTCCTGCCCTTACCATTTTGTCACCCTGTAACTGCAGGAAAGTGACACTATAGTTTCCATTCATCTGTTTACTCAGATCTTCTGAGTAGGTAGAAGCCTGTCTTGAGATCTTTGGCTAATGGGTGATGCCATGTGAGCTGAACATTACCTTAGCAGGTTATTATGATCATAAAGACAGTCCAAGACAAAACTAGGAAGGAAAATCAAGATACAAAGCAGAAATGAAGTTCCTGACTATTCCCAATCTACGTAACGCCAGGAAATATTCCGAGTACTGTGATCTGATGCTTGCACATCAAGGGAATTCAGATGTGCTGTGGCTAAGTGTTCCCAAGCTTTGAGTGTTATCAGAGGCTCTTTGATGTGTGGAGATGATGCCCTCTTCAGAAGTTGCCAGGAGCTTTGCTCCCCAGTGCACAGTTTTGTAGATTGAGCAGTCAAATTCACAGAGTAGAAGAATTCCGGCAACAGCCACATTTTGGCACCTTCTTCACTGCTTTCATACAAAAGACTTCTGCTGTGCTTGTTGTGCCCCCAACTGCACAACACATGATGGTATTCCCAAAAAAAAAAATGCAGGAAGTGGGCAGGAATGTTACAGACAGTAAATCATACACAGATTCCTCGAGGGCTGGATACAGATTCAGATTCCATTCAACCTCCTGTGTTAAGACTTGATTAAATTTTATTCCAAATGCACCATGCAGCCTCTAGGATGCCAAAACATGAAAGACAAGGGTTGTGCTGCATGTGGAGCCTTTCCTGAGAAGGAAGGGAGGAAAACTTACAGATCTTTTAGGTCTATCCACAATAGGTTCAGTAACTTTTCAAACTTTAGTGTAGACAACTCTTTAATTTTACCTTTGAGGTCTGAATTACTCAGATGCCAGAGAACTTTTTCAAATTACACATTTGTTCCCCTTATTTACGGTGCATCATAAAGTGTAGATGTCACACAGCAAAGATCACAACCTCTGAAAGCCCCCACTCGTTCATTAGTTGAAGAGCGCATTCAATGCATACATGGATTTATCCTAGTCATTCCTCTGAAGATAACCATTTACACAGGAAATGAAGCAAGTCTCACTCCTTCATTTTGATGACTGCTAGGCCAACTTTTGTGCAAGTTAATATAATCCAAACAGTCCCTTTACAGAAGTCTACCTCTCCAAAGCAATTACTGTTGCCATGAACTGTCCTCCCAGGTTTCACACTAACATTTGAGCTGCCCTGAAAATAAGCAGCACTAAATTCACATTCAGAAAACAAAACAAGGCTACAAATTTGGAAGGTTATTTTTCAAGGAAATTTTACCTGTAGGACTGCATAATACATATAAAATATTAAATTGGTGAGCCAGGAGAGAAGGACTGCTGTTCTAGATCTGAGGGTGAACTGCAGGGTTCTCACAGCCTTCTGCAGGAGCCCGATGCCTACAGCTTTCTCTGCACTTACTCACAGAGGCCTGTGAGGCCAGAGACTAAGCAACGAGTGATGAGCAGGACTTGGTTACTCCATGTGTATTCACTCAGTGCAGTGTATTGGCAGACTGACAGTTTGGAAAATGGTATGTAACCAATTGAATGAGCCAGAACGTTTCTACCACTGACCAAGAGGTCATTTAAAGTCTCAAATTAATAAAATTTATTTCTCTTCTGCCATATTTTACCTTGGAGTTGTCCCAGCTGTATCACAAATGCAGAGGAGACAGCATGACTGACATCTTTAAAGAGACAGAGTGAGTCTGTAATGGGTTTCCAAACAAGACATGAAGATAGTAAGTGACTGCAACCCCTTCTTTGCTCTAGCTTCTTTTACTGTCAGACTCCAGGTCTAATCTCAAATGCTCAGCAGATATCACCAATATCTGTTTAACTCACTGGACGGGGAAATAGGGATGGTGCCGTTCTGAAGCCTCCACCTTATTTCTCCCATCAGGTGCCTCACCATACCCTGGAGTGCAGATAGATGAGGACTTTTGCCGCCGGCTCAAAGAAGGAACTCGGATGAGATCTCCAGAGTACTCTACTCCAGAAATGTAAGAGCTCCTGGTTTTGTATTGAGAGCTTATACATGTCATTTAAGTACTACAAAATAGATTGTATTTAAGTGTGGAGGGGGAAGGAGACCTCATTAGATGACAGCTATGTATTTTGTTTTCAGTAAATGTTGTAGTTGTACAGATCTGGGGTGTCCTGATACCACAGACGAATGCTAAAGACAGACCAAGTCAGCTTGACCTTTGCCAACGACAAGATTAACAGATCTCCCCGCGTCAGTTGTAGTTCATTAATCTCAGTTCAGGAGACTACTGTGTCTGCCTTGATTTCCAATTCTGTGACAGAAACTAGGCATCCATAACTATGACTTATTTCAGCAATATCAGTGGGGCCCATCAGTCAAATTTTAAGTTAGGTGAAAATAAAAAGCCTACAGGCTCAACTGAGGCAGGAATATAGAAGGAAAAAGCATCCCACATGGAAACTAGAATAGAATTTCAGCACATGGAGATTTGAACCTGTCTTAATCCAAAACTATCTAAACAATGACCAAAACAAGCAGCAGCAGAAAGAAGCAGTTTGGAAGCAAAGCTCCTGTCCTTTTCCTTTCTTAATACTTGTGTTTTTATCCAGCTACCAGACAATGCTGGATTGTTGGCATGGAGTACCCACAGAGAGGCCTACCTTCACCGAGCTTGTGGAACGCTTAGGAGACCTCCTTCAAGCCAATGTACAGCAGGTACAGCAACGCAAACGTGTCTTCAACAAATGTGTACGTATAGATGTGTACGTATGTGGATACGCGTAGACATGCACACAGGTAAAGACTATGTTGAGCAGTAATATTAGATTTTACTTCATAACAGAGGTCACAAGGAAAATGGCTACTGGGATGAGTAAAGAAAATGTTAACTATTCAAAGGGGATTATATTTCAAAACTCGATGTTTATCCATCCATAATAAGCAGAAACTTACATTAATTAAAAAAAGGCTTAGCTGCCCCTTAGAGAAACAATAGTGCTTTATCTCACAAACAATTTTAATTAGATTCCAACATAGTAAACTGCCAATAGTTGGTCTGAACTTTCTCTCTCATTTTCTGAGCTTATGTTCATCAGTGCTCTTAGGAGCTTTAAAATGATGCCGTTTAAAGCTCAGAAAGTCAATTACATAATTATTAATTTCATAATAGTTAAATCAGTTGTTTTCTTCTTCAGTAAAAACAACCAGTCCAGTTATGTAACTGTCAATTTAATTCAAGAAGAAATCAAACACTCTCCTCCAGCTCCTTCCTGTTTGTAAACGAATTTAGTGAAGCTCAGTTGAAGGGAGTCCAGTCTGCGATATGAAGAGCTTGTGATTTTTATTCTAATAACCAAAGTAAATTAAGGAGACATAAAAATCATGATAAGGGAATAAGGCTCTTAACTGTGTCTCAAAATTAAAACCAAAAAACAATTCAAGCAAAGGGAAATTTGGACAAATAGTTTTAGGACTTGAAGAGTCATTTCTGAGGATTACTGCAGGGGTGTAATGACAATGCAGAACTTATTATGATGTGTGCTGAATTTTATTAAACTCTCAGCATCAATTTCTTGTAAGGACAAGAAATAAAATCCTTTAAGGCTACCATTTTAAGGACTGGCTCTTGCTAATCTGCAACTCCTTATGTTGAACATAAGCAAGCAAAAAGTCCATAAGTAGGCAATATTCCTCTACCAATCCCAAAATCTGTTAAAGTCATATGGGCCATAGGGCTTTTGTGACTTCATGTCGCTCCCTCCCTTCTCCCAAACACATTGCTTCAACTTGGATTTAGGTGTCCCTGAAACTGGTCGCTTGGAATTCTCAAAGAGGCCAACACAATGACAATATAGAGGACTGCTTTCCTGAAGCGATCAGTGAAATTCTGTTCACTTTCACTGAAGCAGAACAGCCACACATCTGGAATGTAGTCACGATCACAAAGAAATTGCTGTAAACTCATTAGAGATGCTGCTGTGAAAGTCAGCAAAACCAGCTACTTTTAAACTGGATGCAGACACACTGACACCCTCAATACCTTGTTGCACTGCTGTGCCATATGCGAGGGACATTTGGTTGTCTTACAACTGCTATAAAGACCAGTGAAGCAATAGCTCAGGCTGAGATGCCTGGGAGAGAAAACACACTAACTGCAGATGAGTACTGGAATATGACAGACCATTTTCAGCCTTTCTGTGTCATAGGTTTCCCAAAATGTGCCATCTTCCTCATATAAAGCCTCCTACACAGTAAATGTTGGATAAATCTATAATTCTAACTTCCACATGTTGTGAGGGTCATAATCACTTTGAAGAAACATCATAAAGTTAAAATAAAATCTAGTAAAGCTCTGTAGAATACGATAACCTTTTACGTCTGAGATGCAGTACAAAATGAACTTTACCAGCTTTGTGTTCTCTTGTATTATTAATTATACAGGATGGTAAAGACTATATTCCACTGAACATCACCTTGTGTCCTGATGGAGAATCTAACTCCAAAACTTGCCCTGTGGAAGAAAACTTGAACAACTGTGTTAATCGCTGGAGTGCAGTGGAAACTAGGTAAGAAAAATATACACAGTGGGCAGAAGGGAAAGCAAGATGTGATATAGCTGGGCACCATTTACTGTCCTCTCTCAATATGGCTGCTTTAAAGGAGTTGGACAGACAAATCTGTTAGGGCATTGTTTATTTAGTTACAAGAGATGAAAAAATAAGACTGGTCCAGGAAACTGAGCTGTGTCAGGGATGTTACTTGAGCTACCAACTGGTGCAGCATCTGTTTGGGTTTTATGGTGACCCCTCAACTTTCTTGCTTTCAGTAACAACTGCAAGAAGCGACCACTGAGTGTGAAGACATTTGATGAGGTGCCAGTGGAAAAGGAGAAAGTGACGCATGAGGTAAGCGAGGTGATTGCATCCTTCTCTACCGGGTTCACAGATCACTTGTCACCAGCACCAGAAACAGTTATTAGAACTTTTGAAATCTGTTTGGGAAGAAAAAGCTGTAAATCAAGCAGAAGATTTGTCCCTAGCACCTCACGCATAGGTCTGTGTGGCAACAAAGAGGGACCTGCATTTAGTTCAACAAATAATTTAAAGAGAAGTTCATGCATGATTATCCTGGCTTTGATCAGGCTAAGGGGCTTTATATTACATATTTCAATATGTTTTTTCCCCCATAAGAAAATGGCAGCTCATTGAAATGGAGCTTTTTGAAGGCAATGTGTCTAGAACACATTCTGGTTGGCTGAGACGGCCAATAACTTGTGGTGGTGAGGATATTCAGTTCTGGATGAACAAGACCAAGATTCTCAAGCTCCTGCTCTAGTTGATTCACACAGAGGGCTCTAACCTTGGATTTTCCCCACCCTAAGTGAACATTTTATTGCTAGCTTAATGGCACTGCAGGGCAGGAGAGTGTTGAACAGTTTCATTTTCATTCCAGTGGAAAACAAAAGCATTTTTTATTACAAAATGATGGTTCTGCTTATTGGCTTCCTCTGAAATCACAGGTTCCAAGGGTGGATGGAGGGTTTTTTTCCTTTCTGCTTTTTCTTCCATACTTTAAAAAAAAGCCAACCAAAAACCAACCAACCAAACAACCCCAACACACACACACACACACACACACAAAACCACCTCATGAATTCCCCTATGGTTCAGGTACTTGGTGGCTGCAGTGCCATATGCAGTCCACACCACTTGCCTCAATGACAGATTCTGTGCCACTACGAAGAGATCTGTGTAATGCATGTGTGCTTGAAGCAGATCGAAGTTTAGGGAGGAACCATGAAGCCCTCGGGAAACCTCCTAGCAGAGGAAGAGGGCAAACATCAGATGGCTAGGAGCAGCACAAGAATAGAAACGTGTGTACAGTTTTATAGAAACAAGGCAGTCTGTCAGCTCTGCTCATCAGGGAACCATCTCCCATGCTCCAGCCAAGATTCCTCCTTGGACAGCCAGCCATTCCTCAGACCAGCTCTCTTGAGAAGGGTCTCTACCTACAGCTTGTCCTGGACATACTCCATGTCCTTGACAAACACAGCGTATTTCTCATCTGCGCTCTTGTTCGCATGAATTGATGCCCACTATTCCCGAGTACTTTGCCAGTTGTCATTTCTATCAGTGCATCTTAGGGATTAGAAGGCTTAGAATTTTCTCTGGCTCCCGCATCTTTCCTCTTGCAGGATAAAAATCTGTCCCTCTGAATCACACAAAGACATTTACTAGACAGATCCAGTATCAGTAAGATATTACTGCTGCCAGCACGAGCATTACTGCCTAAATGCTCCCTGTTCGTAGCATTTTAAAGTAAGTCTTTACATGCAGGAAAAATTTTAAAAAAGGGTAATAATAAATTAACAGATCAGAAATAAATGTGATAGTTCAATGAGGATCGTTTAAAGCAAACTTATGGCGTGATCTACTTTTGGATAAAGTTACTAAAATTATCTTAAATATCAAGACACTAATACTGATGAGGTCATTATTTCGAATAGTTGTCCAGGAACTCTAGAAGTGCTCTACCACACCTTCCTGCAACTGCGCTGCCTATCTGTAGTCTCTGTTGATATTCTTCTAACAATTTTTCTGTAAGCAAAATGCAAAGCAGCACTCAGAGCAATTGTTTCGAGACCACAGATTTTAAGGGAAAACAGTCAAGATAAAAAACAGAGAGAAAAGCTGGGTTCTACTGAGTTTTTGGCAGACTTAATTAATTTAGGATTTTACTTTATACTTTGAAAACCAGCTTCCAGACTGATATATTACCAAAGAAGTTATGAAAAAGCTTTTGCTTTTTATTTATTGTTTGCTGGGATTATTTTTTCTGTTTCAGTCAGTTTGAATGGTAAAATAAGACTAGCTAGAGTTTCACTTCCCATGTTGAAGCCTTTTGCTTTCTTGGCTTTAACAGACTGGCACGTAACTTTCCAGCATCACAAAATATTTAAAATGCAAAAGAACTCCCTCAGGACATTTAATATTTTTTAAATTACTTAAAACAAGGACTGTGTATGTCTGTGAGCTTGTGTAGCACTTAGCACAATAACAGCTTCATCTTAATTGCAACCTCAAGACTCAACTTTTAAGTGCAGCGGAATCACAACTTCAGCTTCAACATTTTTGTTGGGCAGCTCATAAAAATCCATAACCAAAGTACAATGAACCTTTTAGGCTATGTACCTTTGCAAAGCACTTGGATTTGACAAAATGATACTGAACTTCCACATCCTTAAAATTTTGATGTTTCAAGTAGGTATTGAGGGTACTTTTTTCTCTGAGGAGCCTAGCCATTATTACTGGATATATTCCTTATGAATTTCTGTCCATTCATATCTCAGCTAGCCTACCTAGACAGTATCCATATGTCATGCTTAATATCAATTTCAAGTTTGAAAATGTCAAATTGTTTTTTGATATGTTCATTTTAAGGGTGCGCTTTCAAAATACAGGTCAAAAATGTTATCATCACAAAAACAAGGCAAGTGTTCTCAGGCTAAATAGCAGCATTATCAAGAACAATTGGATAAAAACTGATACTATAGGCCCTGATAAGAGAATATTCTGAAGAACAGGGTTAATTTCACACACTAACTAGTCATATCTATGTGTTAAGCACTTCACTGAATTTTAGAGTTTCGATGCAAACATTTGCCCTCCAGGTTGTCAGCTGGAATCTTGTGATTACCTAGAATAGCTGGTAGCTCTTACGAATGTTCCAGTACACAAGTATCAGTGTACAACACTACAGTATAACATCTACAGATGCCACCTTGTTGGCAGTCTCTCCCTGCTATCTGCCCAGAGAGCCCCAGCCTCTACAGGGCCACAGTGAAGGAGAAGTTGCGTTCTCCTGCCCCTGCTTTGTCTGCTCGGCAGCTGGAGACAGTTTTATAAGGTGAGGTTCTATCAACTTGCCTAAAAACGATACCATCACAAAATAAGAGAGCTGGAATTTGGTATTCTAACTAGTTCCTTGGCTTTCCTTCTCTACTGACTTTAACAGTGGCTTCATCTGACTTTTCTCCACACTCTCCCCACAGCAAGCTACTTTTAAATTAAAAGTACTCCATGCTGTCGTGATCGTTTGGCACTCTGCTGATGTTCTCTTCCTTTTGCTACTCAGGAGTCGGACAGCGGGATGGTGTTGACATCAGATGAGATAAAAAGCCCGAAGAGGCTCGAAATCCGTTCTTGGCCTTATGGGATCATGGCTCTAGCGTGAGTACTTCTTTTGAAAACAGTGTCCCATCAGACAAATGCTTCCAGGATTTGCAATTTTGTTTCTGATTCCAAAAGGAAAACTGTTAGACTATCTAAACAAGCTAGAAGGAGAAGCAACTTTGGGTTTCAGTCCTATAACTGAAATTATGTTAATGTATTTTAAGATCAAGAAAATTATAATGTAAACTTTGCTTCCAGAAAGAAGTTGAATATAAAACAGAGTTGCAGGTCTCTGAAAGGAATGCTGCACTGTTGCACTTAAGTTACAGGAAGGTTAATTAACACAAAAAACCTTGATTCACGCAATAAAAATGAAAACTTATTTCATCAGCCTTGAGCACATCATGTCTTGTCAATCCATTTAACCCTTCTTCCAAAATGCCAAGTTGCCTTGTGACTCTGAATCACTTTCAAAAAAGCCAGAGAGTGCTCTGCAGTGAAGCTGGTGTTTCCTGTTCATGATCTGATCTCCTGGGGCAGAAGATTCTGCACGTGGCAAGTGACAGAAGCAAAAGAGCTGAGAACATGCCTATCTATTTTAGCTGTTTCTTGACTGCCTCTCCAGTGTTCTCCTTTACTGATGGAACACAGCTTGAAGAACTTGATTTATTAATCCAGAAAATAACATTTAGAATTATACAGTGTCTAACAAAGCTATGTTTAACTTTAGACATGCAAAAGGACTAGCACCTTTGGAATTGACAGGATGTGAGAAAAGTGAAGAAGGTGGCATGTATAGTAGCTGTGCAACAGTATAAGCACTGCAAAGCAAGTACATGTACCTGAACCATGATTTCTACATTTGCTTTGTCATGGTTATGAGGACAGTCCTACAGAGGAGTCCCTTAATCCCACCACCTTCATGACCCTATGAATTATATTGTTCATATTTAGTAGTGAAATAGGTCTTCTGCACCTTCCTAGAAAAGTATAATAACAATAGTAACCCATTTTACTGCAGAATTTCAAATAGCTAATCAAAATATTAAAAAAGAAACAATCCCGTAGCAAGGAACTCCACAGCTATTCAGTTAATTAAGCTAATTGGACTTTCACTGAATTGTCTAGAGTTTTCTCTGAAATCTATTGATGAGATTTCTATTAGTTTCCTCTGTATTCCATGATCCTTCCCACTAGAGCAATTGTGCTTGTTTGACATCGTCACCATTTTTCTACATTAAAGAGAAATGATAGATGAGAAAAAACTGGAGCAATTTCTGCGTAGTATGGGAGAGGTCACATGAGAGCGCACAGTCAGAATCTAACGGTACTGCAGAGGGGCTAACTCCCTCACTCAGAGAGAAAAGCAAGATGGAAGGAGCTTGCCTTGTCTTTTCAGGCCTTAAAACCATAAATCCCTAGATGTTTGAAGGCAGGAGAGAAGGAGAAAGAGGAAAAGGGAAAAAGTTCCACAAGGAAGGCTAGAGAGCCTTGCAACACTAACAGGGAGTATTCAGGTAGTCCCCATTCTGCTGGATAGGAGTGTGACTTCAGGAACGTCGTCGTTCAGCAGTATTTCCCCTGTAGTAGTGTCCCAGTGTTGTGCTTGTTGGGGGATTAGCAGAGATGTAGATACGGTTCCATGTTTTTATCCTATGCACATGCTGAGAGGATTTCTGCACAGCACAGTGCATTGCTATGGAGACCAAATGGCACCAGCTCTAAAATAACTACATGACTAAGATGGTTTACCCGGACTGATTTACCTCTCTTTTCTGCATGATGTCACGTTGACACAAATCCAACACACATACACACACCAACAGCCTCCCTGATTGGATTCATCCTTCTAGAGATTTCTGTCAATCACTTCTGACTGCTGTTTCCCTACTGCATTTCTCTCATTTGGATAAATGCTTGGCAGAGGAAGGTTCTCTCCCTCTCCCCCTTCCAGGCTTTCTTCTGAAAATCAGAAAAATCAACAGCCAGACAGATGTAGAAACACAAAAATTCCATAACCAGCCTATTCTTTTGAGATTTCCAGGAAAACCTTCTGAACTGCTATCAGGCCCACTGGGAGTGAATGTGAAGTAACACAGCTCTGCTGGGTTCAGCCTGACCCACACCATCTGGGGCTCTTCCCATTTACAGTCAGCACTTCCACAGGGATTCCATTAATCGTCAGATACCTGATACTTTCTGTGCCAGCCAGACCACGAAAGACCATTTTTGCTATAAAAGCAAACCCTGCAGCAAGCTCTGTTGGTTGTCTGCTTATTCCCAGGACCCCAGCTACCACTGAAGGCGCAGAGGTGTGTTTTTTCTTGGCCACATCCTTCATTGAGTGTTTGAGGTCCAGCTGAGAAAGCTATTTTGTCAGCTTCTTTTTTTGTTAATCTTGCAGACTATCGTTGGCACAAATACCATTTTTTACAGAGTTGCAGAGCATCCTGATGCCCTCTCATTTGAGGACATGACACCCCTTGGTGTTCCTGCACTGCTAACTTAAAAAACAAGCCTCAAAAGCATATAGAATAGTCTAAGAGAGGTCAGAGGAGAGTGCTGGTTTAATAAGGGAGATAAAGTCACCCTTGTAATTGTGTGTCTCTCTCGATCAAAAACATTTACCCTGGATCCTTTTCAAACAGTCTTTCTTTTCTAAAACAAAACTGTTCAAAGGCTTAGCATGTTTTCTAAACCAGGGTGGCTGCACTTATTATTTTTGCCAAAACCTCGCTGTTTATTTGTCTTGCATTCATTTCTCTGTCAAGTTTAAAATTTGGCAACACTACACACCATGAAGTGTCAGTGTCAAGAGTTTACTGACGATGAATCTGGTACTCTGGGCCTGGGATGACTGTTAGACAGGACTAACCGTTTCTGAGCTCTAAGCATTTTATGCTGCTAAAGTATAAAGCCACAACAGTAGCTGTAGCAAGGGACAGGAAGATTGACTGGGATAATGACGCTGGAGTTGTCATTCAAGGAAGCACGTTCAGCAGAGAGGGGATTTAATGGTGGCATGACTCTGATGGCAGGTTTCCTCTCATAATATTAACAGGCTACTGTCAAGGGCTGCTTTACCATTCTCCCAGAGACTCTATAATCAAGTTATTGTTTAAAATTATAACAGGTTTGATATCTGCTCAGTTGTCCTCCCTTCATCCCTTTCCCTTCTCCCCCTGACACCAACCCAATTATCCTCCATAGCTCTGAAATTAATTAGCTGGTTCTGGTCAAGTCCCATGACACCAGCTGATGGAGGCTCAGGTAATGGGCTCTGGACGCTGCATCCAGATCACATCACTGAGGGCTCTGCCTCTGCCAAAGCCAAACTGGGCCTCAGGTGAGTCAATAATACTGAAACAATCTGGTTTTGCTCAGGGGCATCAGGCATTCATGTCCAAATGCAAGGTGCCCAACAAAAATGCAACCCAGCTGATTTGGCTAGAATCCTTTTGCAACATCGCAGGAAAATGAGGCATAGAAACATCTTTGCTCCATAACAGAACTTGGTTTCAGAAGATTTTTCTTCTTTGATGAGCATGCTGAGATAGCAGATGTACTTATTGTTGTGTTATGCAACACCTTGTACTATGACCAGACTTGAGCTCTCCAAAATATAAGTAACTTTGAATGAGTAGCTACTCGGGAGTTACGTAAGCCAGTTTTTTCTAGGATTACACTACATGCTTATAGTGGCGAGGACTGAAAGGAGACTTGTGGAAGGCTGTGGTCCCCAGCTTGGTTTTGACTGCAGTGCTTTTCATCTCACTGCATTTTGAGTGCTGGAGCTAGTGTCAGGAACAGCTGACCAACTTTGCCACACATGTAAGGGGATGAATACTTAATGGGTGGGTGACTTTGCCCTGTTAAAACTTTATTCTAGCTGAACTTTGTATTTAAAAGTGTTTCAAAACAATGAATTCTTGATCTCCGAGTTCTTCGTGCCAGTAGACTACTGATACTGCCAGAGGGGAAGCCAGGATTATATTCTTACTGTACAGCACCCCATCCTAAGTGTATTAAAGCAAACTGTGAATCAGTCATAACTATCAGAAGAAAGAATAACCCTTTTATTTATTTCACTGCAGAAAAAAAATTTTAAAACATAATCACTCTTACTCAGTGCCTCATTAAACACCTATGAAAGCTATAAAGTTATAAATGCCTGAAGCTCCTACGTGTTATGATGAGATGTGGTTGTGCGACAAACTGCTCTGCTTGGCAACACTCAGCCCAATTTCTCTTCTTTCCCTCATCACAGCTTCTGAACAAGGCCAGGATTTCTACATGGACACAACAGTCTATTAGTTTTTCCTATTGAGTGCAAGATACTTGGGCATCTTACTGAAAAGCACTAAGAGCTGCTCCACAGCCCTGGGAATAAGTGCTACACTTGGTGCTATCGTCCCTCACTGGATACAGTGATTTTCTTACAGTCATCTCTCTTTTTCCATGCTCCTCTTCAAGTCATTGACCCTGAGATTTAGGCTAATAGAAACTGGCTCCCTCTCACATAAAATAAAAAGCTTCAGTAATGATTGCCCAGCTCTTTGATGATTTCAGTATTTTTCTACCTCTAACCAAAATCTCTGGTTCATACAGTAGGATGAAAAAGTCTCATTAGGTCATTTAGGCCTTTTAGCTATTACAGGATTATCCTCTGTGGTATCTTCTAAACAACTTTGACACCTCTCCAGAAAACTTTAAAAAAGATTGTGAAATATTACTTAATATTCAGACTAACTTTTCCTTCATCTAGTTTAAGTCCTAGACTTTCAGCTTCACCTGTACCAGGAAATCTGACATAGCACAGTAAAATGCATGCAAGAGCATAGAGCCTGAGCTCTGGGATGATCAGGCTGCTTGATGCCATCCTATTTACAGATCTGGCACGTTTTCAGTTATCAACACTGGGCCCACACCACTAGGTTCCTCCACCTCACTTGGTTTTACACCTGACAGACTCAACATTGGCACCAGGATCAGGGACACTATAGAAATACAGCCTGAAGTGTAGCAGGATTTGCTGGTAATTATGAATACCACCCTTAACTGATTTGCTGCTACCAATTTGCATTCTTCTAATCTTCTAGTAGTGGTTCCTCCAGTGCTTTCACAACTTTTGTACTTCCCCCCATAAACCTCCCTAGCTTGTAGGTACCTTTCTGAAAGAGGGGAGTCAAGTGCTGTGCCTTGGCTAACTTTAGTCTCAGCCTATGAAACAAGGCTGAAGCCAGCTCACCACCTTCTGCGAAACATGTTTCCTGAACCAGCACTCCACAGAAACGCGCACATTGTGAAAGAGGATCCTTTAGGTTACAAAATCCATGTGAGGTCATGAATGGCAGTGTTCAGATTCTCTTCTTTCCCCTTATCCTGCCCCAAACAGTACACATTCTTGCAAGGACAAATGAGTTTTCAGGTCGGTCGTTGTGCAAAATGTGACCAGCTTGGGTCATTGAGCAAATGTGTTTTATTTGAATGTCACAGTGTTCACGTGCCTAATCTTCAGTATCATGCCATGGTGAGAATACTGACAGTCCAGTGGGACTGGGCTGAGACATTCACAGTTATGAGCACATTTATCAAAACTGAACATCTCTTTTATCGCCTCCCACAGCTGCAGCTCCCAGAAGTCAGGCAGAAGCAAAATCAGTAAGGAAACACCTTCTGGGGCAGTGTAATGCCAACCCAGCAGAAGCACTAAACCAAGTAACAGTTAGCTTTTAATGAAATTTCTTAATGACATAACCATTATTAACTTCTGTAGCTGCATAACTGTTAATCAAATCTAATGCCTTCAGTCAGAAGATGTTTATCAGTGGGGCTCAGGGAGAATTTTTCTGTTTTATACAGGACAGCACGATTGGCTCAGACCATAAAGGGGTTTTGCTTTCCTCTGAAGCATCAAGTACTGACCACTGCCAGGGGCAGGATACAGATGGACCGAATGTCTGATTCAGTGTGGCAGTTTCTATGCAGCAAATGAGATTTCAAGGACAGACAGAAAAGGGATGCTGCAGTCTCATTTTCCAACATACAGTCCAGGCATATGTGCATTTCTCTGTTGCTGACATGAACAGAGGAGATTGAAGGGTCAGTAATACAGAGCATTACAGGGAAAGACCCTTGGATAGCTTTCATTTAGGAAATACATCTAGATGAAAGGTCTGGTTTTGAAAGTTAATTGCATTTTGGTCTGCCATAAGACAGCTAATGACAAAACTTGCTTCTGACCTAACTCATCAACTTTCTGCCTTTGAAGCAAATATTAGATGCCAGCATTTAAGAGTCCTTCTTCAAACACCAGCATGATCTCAGCAATAGGCAGAGTCATTCCCAGATATCCAGTCTCTGGACCTACAGGGGCAGAAACCTAACAAGAACACTTGCTGGGAGTCTACGTGGGTCTGAAAATTTCTCATTGTGTGGCCAAACTAAACCCTAATAACATTTCTTTTTCTCCTGCACTCTGAGATATGCAGGCTGGGGGCCAAGTTAAACAGATACTTTCAAGCTTCTCTCTGTCTCCACTGACAACTTTAATACCTGTCAAATTAGAAGCCAGAGCATCCATGGAATTGTCTGACATGAGTCAATAAAACCAAGCAACAAAAAGAAAAATACAAAAATAAACAGTGAAGCAAAGTTGTGGTTCCATTGCTCATACCAGGGAAGAATTTATGTACAGAGAAAGTGTATATGTACAGAAAAGGACAGCTGCCAAATGTATAGTATACAGAAGAAGTTTCCACTCAGGTTTTTCTCTGGACAAAGAGGGAAAAACTTAGATTGAGAAAGCAGTGTGCTACATTTTTGTTGAAGTTCTATAGGTTATTATTTATTTTAGAATTTCTCCTTTGTCACTCGACAAGTTTGGTTTCAATGCCTTGTGCAGTTCTGAAAGCACAGTAACATTAGCTTTAAGCTATAATCTCTGCATTTTAGAAGTTACAGAACCCAGGTTTATTCTAGATGTGCAAGACATGGTGGGCTGGCTCTGCAACTCAGAGGTCCTGGGTTCACTTCCTAGAGACAAAGCTGGAGATGCAAACATGCTGTGGAAAGCCACCACAGCACGCTTCGGCCAATCTCCCACTGCAGCTGATTAGAGTTGCAGCTGCTTGTTATGTCTGAATGTGGCTGAACGCACCAGCTCCTGGCTTAGAAGAGCTGGCTTCACAGACTGTGATATACAGAGTATCACCTACTCCACATATACTCCCCCAAGCAGAAAACTACAGGGTGTATCATTTACAGATGGACCCTGCAGGCTGTTCAACGCGGTTGTGCACAAATCATAAACCACTGTTCTACTCTAGCCAATGCTCTGCGTTATCCAGGCACGCTAGGAATCAGCAAACTTTTAAGTGAGGATACTGACGCTAGTTCTGTCAGCCAGACTGAGAATATCTGCAGCTTGTGGGAAAACTGAAGCTTTTGACAGGTTCCAGATTCAGAGGCAAGATAACACAACTTCTGAAGTCATAGTAGTGTAACCTAGCAGGTCATATTTACCCTGTCATAGCTGAAAGGAGCTGGATCTACTGTATATTATAATTCTGTCATGCCAAGCATCAACCTGCTCTTAAGTTTGCAGCAGTTCTCTCTGCTGTACCACGACAAAAACATGACAGTGCACACAGTTGGTGTCTTGGATCTGCTACTTTTCCTATCCACGATTTCTGTTCCCCTTCCTCCAATTACTTTATGTGTCTCTCAGCTATGGTTTTGTTTCCTGGAGCAGGAACTGGCTTTGCTTTCTTTCTAAAGCACCACACTCTGATTCCCTGATCAACTATTGAGGACTGTAAGCACTGCAACAGTACAAATAAAATAAGCGTAATGAATTATACAGTTATCTGATGAACTGTTGATTATTTGGATTTGGTTTAGAGTCATTAGAACGTAGCTGTATGCTCCTTTAAACATCTATAAAATATACACACAAAGTACTTGAGGACTGCCTGATTTTAAAATCTCCCAGGCACATTCATAAGTCATTGTGAATTGAGACACGAGCAATGCCATAATCGGTCTGTGAGTGAGGCTTATTCTGAAGAGTTGCATGTTAAAGAGTCCCTAAGCACACAGTGGAGAAGTTCAAACACCATTCTCACATTGAGATCCTTTTGAGAACCAACCCTAAATTATCCAGACCTCTTCCAATGAATTCCTCAGATGGAAGAAACCAGGCTTAACAAAACATGATTTTTAAGGCAGCCTATGACAGAAAGTACCTTCTTTCCATCCGCAACACTTGCTGTTCCTCAAGGTCACCTTGTGATAAAAATCCTCTCCAGGTCTCTTCGACTTTTAACATTGAGGTTGCTCCATGTGATCTAAGTTGCTTCTCTCTCACCACCTTCATCACCTGTAATAAGGGAAGACAGCAGAAGATTAAAGCTGGCTCTCTTTAATAGCATCAGTTACAGGCCAGCAGTTTTAACATTGAAAAGCACTGCCCTTCACTAATGTAGTGCTCAGTAATTTGAAAGGGCCAGAGAATAGAAGAGAGATTTTGCCCTATGCTGCGAGAGTGTGTTCAACACACTCTTGCTTTCAGTATAATTTTAAATTAGTGTCTGTCATAGATTATTCATTGTTTCAGCCTTTATTATACTTAAAGAAAAGTCATAGCCTTCAGTTCTGCTTTCAGAAAAGTCAAATTTTTACTGACCTGTGTCAGAATAAGAGAGAATATTATTGTATGTATGGGACAGGCGCATTTATAATAAGATATATATAGTGCACTGAAATGTGGGAAGCTAAAAGGACAGGGCAACAGGACTCCTGGATTTATTCCTAAATCTACTTTTAAAGACTGAGTTATTTGAAATACCTAATTCAGTCCCCTTATCCAATGTGTAAAATGTCACTGTCTTACAGGATGCTGCAAAGGTAAACTGAAATACTTTATTTTGTTTTTTTAATAATTTTTACCATTAATTATTCATAGAGACAAAAACCTTACGGGCCCAGGGTCAATATATTATACTGTTTGTTCTCAACAGGCGGAGAGCTGTTAGCAAGAGCAAAGAATCCATATTATCTGATCATGAGCGTGAGGCTGTCAAATACCAGCCAGCAGTACAGGTTGAAGAGGACACCATGGACTTCACACTGGAAGATTCTGTTCTCCTTCCTATGGATCCAAACCTGGAATGCCACAGCCCACCTCCAGATTACAACTCCGTCATTCACTACTCAGCCCCTCCAGTGTAATCAGCCCAACCTGAGACAGAGCATCTTGCACCTCTCCTAACCATGCTAGATTCTTACACACCTCCATGCCGGGATGAAGAGGCTGAGTGAAACCAGAAGGGAAATCTGACAGGACAGTGGTTCATATATTTCTTTTCGCACATCTCTGATGTGAATATAAACATTTAAAGAGCATCTTCTTTGCTACCTTTAAAGGCCTGTTGCAACATAAGCCGTAAATCAAAAATCTGTCTATCAGAATCCTGAGTAGGAGCTGGAACCCAGAACTGCTTCCACTCCTTCCTTGCCTAGCTGGGACTGTTCATGGGCATTTGCAGATTTACAAGTTCCTTCATTCACGTTTTACTCCATTAAGAGTCACATCAAGCTAGTTGTGAAAACAAGATTCACTCTACTGGTCCTGCACACATCCTGCAGGGATTTTTTAGTCTGATGCTGTAAGGGATCAGTTGAAAACAACAGCCATACACACTAATGGTTTGCTTTAGGAGAAAAATACAAAACTGAAACATCATTCTTAACTTGGCATCTTACCTTCTGTGAATATTCCTGAAATATTTTAAAATCCAAAATATTTTGGTTACTGTTTGTGATTGAATACTCTCCACTGTCTATAGGATACACTCCTAAAACTGCTATGGCACAGAGAAAGCAGATAGTACTCATGCATTCAGAGGCAGGCTGGGCTTTTGGGCCATCAGGGCATACACTGTGATTAAATCTGTTTCCCTCTGTTTTCTCCTTGTTCAAACAGCAATTTATTTAGCATACATGCAATAGGGAACCTTGATGAAGATGCATCTGTAATGATTGCAAGGCAAAAATCACTGCCTTAAATAAAAACCTCCTTGAACCTAAATAGACAGGATTTCCCAGGGCACATGCACATGCTTGTGTGAATGTGCATCAAATACTCATTAACAACATGAGAGTTACACATAAATGCACATACACCCTTGAGGCACCAGCAGGGTAGCAGCATTTTTGTTTCCTTTCTGCACACAGGCTATTTACTAAAAAGGGGGGGGAAGCAATTCCTCTGGATTCTGTGGCAGATGCCCAACAGTTTGATCCTGGGAATACTAGCCCATGTTAAACAGTAAGCATATGTGACACATATTTGTCTCTGACTGTCTTGCCAAGGTAAATACTGGTATGATATGCAATGCCCTCTGCATCTAAACCCTTCATGGGTTCATGGTAATTCAAAGCTTTTTTTGCAGCCAAATCATGCAGGACTGACTGAATGGATCACAAATTGTCACATTAGAGAAATTCAAAATATGTTGCCCCTAAAAGCTGTGTGTGGGCAGGGACTGTTGGTCTGCCAGTACGTACACCCAGTTTCCATGCATATCCCATGCATACTAACAACTCCAAAAATAAGCAAATAATCCTTGTCATTTAATGTGCTATGTAACACACATAATTAGAGCTGACTTTAGAAATCTAGGAAGGGAAAAAAGTATCTAGGTTGCAAGTAGAAAAAGCAAGGATGAGGAAGATGTTCATTGACAGTCAAGGCTATAACCTCCTAAGTTACAAGCCTAGATCTGTAAATGACTTTCTGTGCAGTCTGTGCACAACCCTTTCCTTTTCTTAGACTTGACACTGAATTGACTTCTTCAGAGAAAAAGAATTTTTCTTCATGATTACAAACTAAAGGGGGGAAAAAAAATCCTACACTTGCAAAACAATTATATTACCTTGGCTTAGACAGCCTAAACACCCTCAAAGCAGTGAAGAAAACATCTCTGGATGATCGGTTCCAGCTGGTTACATTGAAGTAAACACAAACAAGCCTCAGGTATTATCAAAGGGGAAACAAATCTGCAAACCCCATCCCATGTTAACTGTGAATGCTAAAGCATCTGAAGTATGGGCTCTTGAGAACTGCACTTCTCGCTCTCCCTGACTTCAGATTTGATGTATTAAGGAAATCACCTGCAGTAACTCACGAGACCCTTGTTCGTAGTGGACCTGCTAGACAGCGGTGGTCTGTAGTTGCTTTATGGTAATTTTTGCACTTCTTTGTATTTTAGTACCTATGTGTTAAGTAGAGCTGGTCACATAACAAAAGAAACTACTGGGAAAAAAATAATCTGATGAGCCCCAGAAAGCTCATTGGATCAGTTTTTTATGAAACAGTACATTAACTATCTATAGCTCTGATCAAATAATCAATCACTTCTTTTGGAAATAATTTATTCACATGACAAGAAGAGAAAAGGTGCACAGTTTGTCTGGCTCCACTGTTAATGGCATCAGTGCGAGATGGTTTGTTATTGTACCTTGTTCCTTTGGGTAGGCAATGACAGTGTTTAAAAACCTTTGCTTATAAACTTTAAAATAAGTACATATAGGGAAAAAAACCTGCAGGTATGCTCTCTATTTTGAAAAAGAATGGGAAACACTGCTGTATGAACTGTCTGCTTCTATGAGAGCTGAGTGTATCATCTTTCCACTTTATCAAGGATGAACTGTAGAGATTTCTCTGAGACATGAGGAAGAGAAATCACGTTTCCTGAGTGGGACCCGAGCGGACACTGACAGAGCGCTGGCAGCCAGGTCCCTTTCTGACTCTCAGTAACATCTGTCTGCATCGCGTGAGATGGCATGAAAACAGAATGTAGGCTCAAGACACATTTTAAAACACTGGTTGCATGAACAGCTCCCTGAATGCTGGGAGCATCTCTGCAGTGGCAAAATCAACAGCTGTCTTGAGCGGTATCGAGGGCCATTTCTTCCGAGAGCAAAGATCCCCTCCGAACCCGCAGCAATGGCCTCGAGTGTTCTGGAAACAGCAAGTGACTGATGTTTGGGCAGCTGTGTTTCCAATGGCTATACTGAGTGGAAGATTTTTTTTCCTCCTTATAGTAAATGTAACAAGCATAAGTATTGCCTGAAAAGTATTATTGAACATATGTCTTTTATTTTATTTACTAATATTTTGTTTGTCCTTTTCTCTCCTCCCTTAATTTAATTATTGTTCTTTTCTTACAATGATGTATATAGTTTACCCAGTAGAAACAAATATAGCGATCATTTATATGGTAAAATTTGTAACATTTTAGTCAAAAGAGAAAGAGATACCCAGACATAACAGAGATAATATTGTTACTAAACATTTCACTAATGCTTGCAGGCCAGGCTCCAGTTTACAGTACCCTACTAGTGCCATTTCATAGCAGTTCTCCTCTTGGCTGCTGCGAGTATCCCTGGCTCTCACTTCTTCTCCGCGTTATTTAGTTTCAGTTAGGAAACAGGGATCTGGAGGAATCTGGCAGGTTTATCTCATTCCTGGAAGGGTCACCAGGCAGCTCATGGTAAAGCTAGGAAATTCCACTGCCTCTGTTTTCACTGAAGGCTGGTGATTTGGCTAGAGGATCAGATGAGGGCACATTATTTAAATGATGTGATGTTTATTATTTTTTTCAGACTTCTCAGGGATTGTTATTCGACTCCTGTCAGCCACCTGCTTTATCTAACCTGACTGAGCTCAGTGGTATCTGCTATTAACACGTACCTTTCTTGTCTTTAATGGTGCTTACTCCTACTGTTCTTGTCCTCTGGTTACCCCCGAGAATGATGGCAAAGGAACTCAGAGCTCACCACAGAAGTGTGCTGTCTTCTCTCCTACAATCACCTGCCACATGGGTGTCCAAGGATAAGTGCCTTCACCTGCATGTTATTGTTCAGGCTGGTGTTTTTATTAGTCTGGTTTCCTATCACCTTTTCTCCACTTTTCTTCTATTACTTGATATTTGTTCTTCACAGTCCCTCTGGATTGCTTTTTTCTGCCTTTTGAATAAGATCAGGTTCCACTCCTTCCACTCTGCTATTTCCTGTATATTCTGTGCTTGCAGAGGCTGAACTAGATAATCTAAAGCAAGCTTTTTTCACATTATTTTTTTTTTCCAAGGTAGGCAAGGAAAACTAGTTTATATTGGTTTGTCTGGAAGCCTCTCTGTATCCTTCCCTGAATGAGAGAAGGTTTTTAATCTACTGATTTTTCAATATTGGTATTTGGAGCAAAACAAGGTTGGTGACTACTAACATGAATCTCATCTTTCTCCTAGCCCATTCTCAAACAATGAGGTTTCTCTTAGGTTCTTCCAAGTTATCCTCTCAAGAAGGGGGTCCTAACCAGGATGGCTGGGTCCACACCATCTACTCAGGATATCAAGGAAGGTCAGATAAAAACCTAAAGCCTGAGTAACAGTCTCAAACAAACCCACTGAATGCTGAAGATGTATAGGGCTGCCTGAGGTATACACTGTTCTGCTTAAGCCATCCCACAACTACAAATACTACTCTTCAGTTAGCTTGCTGGGCCAACGCTGAGGATAACCAAGTGTCCAGGCACTTCTCTCTTTTATTTACACTCTTGAGTACTGTGGGAATGTTACTCAGCATGTAAGCCTGCAACTGGCCAGTCAACAGTTGATGACTTATATTCTCAATGACCCTTCACGTTGAGCATTGGCGCTGCCTTGTCATGTCCCATCTTGCTTTATAAGTTTGATCTGGCCCTATTCCAGCTGGAAGGGTGTGGTGTTGGGTCAGTGGTCTCTAGCTCCCCCAGCACCAACTAGAAAACACCAGGAAATGTTTGCAGGGAGACATCACAAGTTAATAGCTACATAACAAGATCAAGCATTATCAGGTTTTCCTGAACACAGGAGTTACCCAGGATCAGTATCATACTCAGTGATCAGCCTATAGGGTTTTTTTCTTGTCATAAAGTGAATGGAAAATACAGAAGGTAGCAATAATTCTTCTGTCCCTCCCTGCAAATAGTAATGGCCAAACCCTGGGATCCATTTTCATGTTTTTATACTAGGTCACAAAAAGCAAAAATAATTTTGCCAAAGTAATGACACCAGCACCACCTTACACAAATAAAATCCAGGGAGGGCTTCTGGATTTGACCCTATCCAGGGTCAGTCACTGTATAGGTGACTATGTAAGTGTTGAGCCCAAGCACTGGCTTGTTTGAC